TAGGATTCTGTTGTTGAGAAGGGGGTATATTATTATTATTATTATGATGATGATTGTGGCAGATTCGTTTTCTACATGGAAGTCTAATCTCCTCCGAAGACCTTTTCTGGGGATCGTCGATAGATGGTTTTTCAATAGGAATCGTTTCCCTCGGATCCTCAAGAGATAGAGGGGGGGTCCTGTCTTGAGACATGGAGCGGTCTCTCCTCCTCCTCCTCGAGAAGTCTTGAGAAAGGGAGAGGATTTTCGGTTCCCTTATTCTCGAGGGGTCTTGACAAATTGAGAGGTCCCTCCTCTTCGAAAGAGAGAGAAGTTTTGGTTCCCTTATCCTCGAGGGGTTTTGACAAATCGAGAGGTCCCTCATTTTCGAGGGGTCTTGATAAATGGAGAGGTTTTTCATCTTCGAGGGGGTTTGATAAAGGAAGAGGTCCCTCCTTCTCGAGGGGTCTTGAGAAAGGGAGAGGTTTTTCATCTTCGAGGAGGTTTGACAATGGGAGAGATCTCTCCTTCTCGAGGGGTCTCTCTTCCTCAAGGGGTTTTGAGGAAGGGAGAGGTTTTTCATCCTCGACGGGTTTTGACAAACGGAGAGGAATCTGAACAGGCTTCTCCTCATCCCCATCATTATCGAGGAGGATGAGGATAGGCTTTTGGAAAGGTTTTTTCTTTTTCTTCTGAACAGGCTCCTCTTGATGCTCGGGGAGAGGGATGGGGTAGTTGTTCCACCATTCTATTTTTTCTTGCTCGAGGATTTTTTCAAAAGTCGTGGCCTCTCTAAGATGAGACGAAGGAGGAGAGTCCTCGAGAAGAATATAATAGGTATTCTTCCCAGTCTTCTCGATCGAGAGAGGTTCGTGCAAACATTTGTGCAACCATTCACTAAAATGAACGAGAATCCCTTTTGTCTTCTCAAGACGATCCATAATCCTATTCATTTGCGAGACGGTTAGAAAGTGGGACGTGTAAAAATATTTGGCTCGTTTCATTAACAAAATTTGTGCATCCAAAGGTGGAATGTCACGAGCCATCAACACGTTTTCGTCGGACAAAAATTCGTCCCGCATCTTTTGATAACTCCCCACGGTATGAATAACCCGCACATTTTGAAAAATCGGAGGCTTTCAGGTAAACGACTCCTTGGATGATATAAAAGGAAAGATCAACATATTTATATTTGAAAGGAATACACGTAGTGAGCTGGGGATGCCTCCTCATGATCCACTTGGACAAAAATACGACTTTGGGGCTCTCCCCTTTTATTTATAGAGAGAAAGAGAGTGTGACCTTCCCTTCCCTCCTCCTCTCTCCCTGCTTCCTCTATCTCTGGACGTCCTTGGATTGGAAAGGGTGACTTTGAAAAAAAAAAGAAGGTCATGGTTGGATAATTTTTTGTTTATTAAATTATTACTTTCACTTCCTCATTCCCACACACATTCATCTTTTTAAGAAAAGAAAAAGAGGTCATGGAGATAAGATTTCTTGGAAAGAAGAGAGAGAGAGAGAAACAAAAAAAAAAAAAAAACAAATAAAACGGACGTCATAGAGCCTCTATGTGTGTCTGTGTGTGTCTATATATATAAAAAGACGAGAGTACTGGGCGAGATCATTTCTTTTCCATTGGGAGCCATGTCGCTATTAGACGTTTTTCCAACTCAACGGATTTCGAACGGGGAGGATTTGAAGACGCTAAAGCAAATCTCCAACTTGAAAATTTTTTTGGCGTGTCATTGTGCGACATTTATTCCGCATTTACCACCTCATCAAGCGATCGTTTCTTTCAACCAAGATGTCGAATCCTCCAACCTGCTCGTTCAGAATATATACAGAAATTTATTCGAATCGCAACAAACGAAAGAGGAATCTCCCTTCTCTTGGAATCGGATGGATCGAGCTTTGAGACGGCCCATTCAAACAGACCGGCGATATACGGATCCGCGCACGAGTTTTCGGTGGAAGAATATTTTTCTCACGAAACGATATTTTACGTTTGGAGTGAGAACGACGGCTGAGGACGAAGTTCATATTGTTCAAACCACAGCCGCTCCTCTCGCCTATTACGAATCATCGTCCCCCAATCTGAAGGAAAGAAGTTTTAAAGTCAGCGACAGGATGAAATATAAGAAATATATTCTAAGACCTTTTCAAAACTATGTCGTTCCCCCGAAAACGCAATATCTCATCGTCACAACCCAGAAGAGTCTCTTTCTCGTCGATCGGTGCTCGTACTCGCTTTGGAAACAATTGAAAGAGGAGATTTCTTTCCAATCGCCGATGATGTTTCAAGAAAAAGAAGAAGAAAACCCTCCGCCACCTTTACCCATCCCTTCCTTAGATGATAAGAGGAGCTGGACCAAACCGTCATGGCCCGAAACAAAATCGACCCGGCAACGGAATGAAATTGAAGTCATCACGATTGAAGATGAGGAGGAAGAAAAAAAATTACCTCTTAAAAAACGGTCGACTTACCGGAACCTACCTGGCGTGCAAGATCCGCTTCAGAATCCAGAAGCTTCTTCTTCTTCTTCCCCGACTTGTTCAAACAGGCAACCTCTTTCGGACTCCTCACAGACAGAACCTCTTCTAGTATCCTCTTCTTCTTCTTCTTCTCCTCCAACCTGTCCCGACATCGTAGAGGTAGAATGTCAGACGGGTCCACAAGCTTCAAAAAGTCCCGACATCGTAGAGGTAGAATGTCAGCCGGGTCCACAAGTTCCAACAGGTCCAGAAATCATGGAGGCAGAATCACAGCCGGGTTCACAAGTTCCAACGGGTCCAGAAATCGTAGAGGTAGAATTTCAGCCGGGTAAACAAGTTCCAACGGGTCCAGAAATCATGGAGGTAGAATCGCAGCCGGGTCCAGACATCCTAGATCCCTCCACTCATCCCAAAGAGACTCCAAGTGTTTCAAGACAGCCTTGTGAGGATCCAGCCCTTCCCGTATGGAATGATTATATGGACTTACAAAATTTGGTGCAACAGGAAGGAGAAGAAAATAATCATACGGATGGGTGGGTCAAAGACTGTTTAGATCATTTAACCTCGAATGAAATTGAACTGTTATGGAATTGCATTTCTGAAATCACATCGGAAATGGGATAAAAACCAAAACAAAAAAAAAAAATTTTTTAATAACAAATTGGAGGAGGGTCATGATGTCAATTAAAAAAAATATTATATAGAGTCCAATCTTGGTGGTTCACTTCAGTTTTCCAGCATGAGGTGATCCACGTTTCCCGAAATATGGATCCCATTCCAAGAGAGATTGTGTAGAGCCTTCACTTCAGTTCTTTTTTTTTCTACCAAGAGGAGAGGGTCCCCAAAGGGCTACCCATGTCCAAAGAGAGAAAGTGTAGAGCGTTCATTTCAGTTTTTTTTTCAAGTTTAGGGGAGGGAGGTCTCAAAATGACACCCCCCATTTTCAAAGAGAGATGGTGTAGAGCGTTCATTTCTGTTTTTTTCCAAAGTTAGGGAGTTTTCAAATGGCTACCCATTTCAGAGAAAGAGAGAGAGAGAGAGAAGGTGTAGAGCGTTCATTTCAGTTTTCCAAGGTTAGGATGGTGGTGGAGAATCCTCCAAAATGGCTACTCATCTCAAAGAGAGAGAGAGAGAGAGAAAAAGCGTAGAGCGTTCATTTCAGTTTTCCAACATTAGAAGGTCCCAAAATACCTTCTGAATTCAAAGAGAGATCGTGTAGAGCGTTCATTTCCAGTTCTCCAAGATCAGAAGAAGAGGGTCCGCTTTTCCCAAAAGGGCTTTCCGCATTCAGAGACAGCGAAATGCAGACTTCAGTTTTCTCCCTCCCCAAGAATAGAGGGTCCCAAAATGGCTTTCCATTTCAAAGAGAGAGGGAGAGGCGTTCATTTCCATTCTCCAAGATAGGGTCGTCTGCTTTTTCCCAAAATGGCTTCCCAATTCAAAGAGAGAGAGAGAGAGAGTGAAAAGGGTGTGTAGAGCGGTCATGTTCATTCTCCAAGATAGGGTCGTCAGCTTTTTCTCAAAATGGCATCTCCCCATTCAAAAAGAGATCGTGAACCAATTTTTTCCAGTTTTTTCCAAGATGGGGGGGGGAGAAGAAAACCTAGGATGGAATAACACGACACACAGAGAGAAAGAGAAAAAAAAAAAACGCCATCTTGTCATTTTCTGATAGGGTACCGGTGTTCGAATACTTTTGTGACCGATTTTACAGAAAGCAAAAAGAGTTGGGGTTTATCTTCGATATCGAAACAAATGCATTGAAGAATTCTTTGCGAGAGCTTTTCGCGATTACAATACTTCCTTCCCGTACAAGGAAGTAAAAACGATAAATGTTGCCAAACCGTAAAAATGTAACCTTTAAAGAAATTACATTTATACAATCGTTGAGTTGCTCGCGACAATAACCACACGACTCAAGAGTTGAATGAGGTTTTTACTGTCACAAGGACCGGACTTTACGACAGGTTGTGGATTTGAAAAACAATAGGAATGATACGAAATGATTTTTTTAATATATTACGATAATATTGGGAATAAATAAGAAAAATCTATTTTCAAAAAATTACATCAACTAAATTAAAGAAGTACATCAGTTAAATACTTTAATGTTATACATTTGCATTTAGATTTCGCTCTATTTCTTGATAATTTTCTGCACTAAATAAATTATAGATATCAGCTTTATTACTTTAAAACAAAAATTTAACAGTAGCGAGGCATTGCATTATAAATTAATATGATTTCACTGGAATACACATGAATGGAACACTGTAAAAACAAGTACGTTTCTTATAAATTTAATATGCTTTTACAGAAAATACATGCATGGAACATTGTAGAAACAAGTTCGTTTCTTTGTAGTAAAGCAATGTTCTGATCTCACAACATGGCCGTTGTTTGTTTGCTAGGCTTCATTTTTGGATAGTAGTGGATCTGTGAAATGTCAATGCCCCGTTTCTAACCTGTTTGTTGCTAACCAAACAAAAAAGGAAGAATAGAGGGATTTGATAATAAGAAATGAGTAACACAAATTGGCAACGCCGCTTAAACGCCATTTTCTGCATAATGTGCTATTTCTGTTGATCGTAACAAATGCCGGAAAAGTCATAATTAGTAACGAATTTATATTCAATCTGAGGGGGAGGTCAATTTCCCCATTATGGCAGGTGAGTATTTCAAATTTCTATGCTGTACTACTTATGATTAAAAATTTATAATCATTTATTTGATGAATGTTTCACAAGTGTAATACTAAAAGAAATATCTGAGGGTTACTTTAGATATCATTGTGTGGTTATTTTTGTGTGAAGTTAAAATTATTAGTTGATTGACAGTTTCTGATTATATTGTAGGTAATGGCGACATTCAGTGGTGTTTTTCTCAGGTCAAAGGCACTCTTGATGATGAGATAACGGAAGGTAAGATCTAATCATTTTAGATTTCATATTCGAAGTGAAGATTCTAATCTAGATTATAGTGTGCTGTCTATCCCAAAAATAAAAATAAAATAAATTATGCGTACAGTTTTCCTTTGTAGCCAGATCTTTAAACGTTTATACAATTGTGTTCACTGTTTCAGTTGTCGTTTATTGAAAACAAATGTCAGATTTAATTGCATTTGTCATCTACAGCACAGTAAAAAAAAATAATGCTGTGTGTACTTTACTGTTTATTTTATTACTGAAAAATGATAATAGATATAGTTAAATTAGTTGTTAAATGCTCTGTTTAACATGTTTAGTTTGACATAATAGTTTATTTACTGCTAATAAATAGCAAATTGCAGTTAAATATTTTCCTGTAATGAGAAATAAATGTGTATTGGAGATGTATTACATTTTTCTTGGTGACTAAAACTGTTAGGTAAATTTCTAGAATCATGGCTTTGATGTTTTTTTTTTTGGTACTGCAAAATAATAACTTCTCTGTGATCTTTGTATTAGTGAAATTGACTTCCGGGGTAAACAACTAGACTGTGAAATTGTAAGTTAATTAAGCATGCCATTTGAATCTCTTTTTTTTTGGGGGGGGGTATATAAAATTAGTAACATTGAAAGGTGGTTTCTAAGTTAGAACATTTCCTGGCAGCTTCAAGTTTTAAGTATAAAATTTGCTGAATTTATCATTTTCTATACTTTAGTAAACCGAAAAATTATCATAATTTTGTAAGTTAAATTATGAGGAATGTTTTTCATTATTTAATATATTGAAAGTATGCTTACCAAAATATGTAAACATGTTAAAAGGTTGTAATTAAGGTTTTTATATGTTAATATTTCACTTTCATTATGTTGTGATGAATTTGCAAACTATTTATGTGCAATAAAAATTTTGAAATTTTGCTTCAAGGAGTAAAAGTTAATGCATAAATGAACAAAAAATTATAAGAATATGCGTAAAAAATATTTACTCAGAAGATTGAATGGGTGTATTAAAATTTGAAATATTTATTTTTATTAGAAACTTTACTGAATAGAGTATTGTCAAATAATTAATGAAAAATTTAAATTCAAAATTTTGTAGTTAAGTAAAATGTAAAATTAACATATCGTATTAATAAATCAGAATTACAAAGATTCTATATTATTAACAGTAGAAACAGTATTCAGATAAAATCAAATCTTGCCTTGCTTCCATTTTCTGTGTGTGTGATCTACGAGGTTATTCAGATATAAGATACCTGCCTTTTTTTTTAAAATATTATTTTATTGCACAAACAATTATTTACTGTATTATGCATAGCGCATATAGTATTATGCATGGGATACAGGTGCTATAATCAGCATCCATTCTCAATTACTTTGTTCTTGCTGCCGAATGGTGGCACAAGTTATTGTTTATAACTTGGTTAGCTTGGTATGTAATTCCAAACCATAAAGACGTTTGTATGGTCATTAAATTGATAGGCTAATACTGGCATATATTCATCTTTAAATTACAGGCTTTAATTTTCATTTTGATAGCAAAATAATATGACTTTTTAAAGATTTATTTAGAACTTTCAAGTAATTTGATAGAATTTCATTGTTGTATTTATAGAAGTCTGAAATTTTAGAATGAGTATTTCATATCTGTTTTTGTAGCGGATATAATATCTTGCGTTGAATTCAACCATGATGGTAATCTCTTGGCTACTGGTGACAAAGGTGGCAGAGTTGTTATATTTCAGCGAGATCCCTTGGTATGTGAAAATTTTTGGTGATACATACTTTTATTTTAGATATTAAAAAAAGTACAATGTGTGCTAATTTGTTACTGCATTCAAAATAACTTTTTTTTTAAAATGGCCAGGTGCTTTATTTCATAACCTTTAGCCTTACGTCACAACAAGGGCTGGAAGAGGTGGCCATTTCATTTTTGGAAAGACCTAATAGGTGGCCACCATTGTTTTCTATGAAGGGATGGACGGATACAACAACCATGCATTCTCTGTGATTCGAACCCGGGCCCATTGCTATATCTGTCAGGGTCACTAACCACTATACCGTCTGGGCAGCACATCAAAATTATCTTCTTTTTATGTATATTAACAAAGAAACTTGATGATAATAAAACTGCACATGGAAATGAGGAATGTCCATGAAAATTATTTGTAATATTTTTAGAAAGATGTGTGAATTTGTTCATTTAAAATGCATAATGATTTAAAAAAATTGTAAAAATGCTGTTGACATGCAAATAAGTATATATAAATCTTATAATTATTTGCTGGGGTAAATTTTTTTTGCTTTTTGCCAATATTTCAAAATGTTAGTTTCCAAGCTTGCAGATGATTGATTCTTGAAAGAAAAATATAGAATAATAACTGAATAAAAACTCATGCTTGTTGAATTTTTAAAATTGTAATTATTATGGCTTCTATTCAAAGAAAAAATTAAGTTGTTTTTTAAGCCTTTGGCAGTGAAGAAAGTAATAAAAATTGGAAATCACATTGTAGAGTCATTAGGTTGATTGGAAGCAGAAAAGATGAAAAATATGAGCCTTCGCTGGGAATCGAACCACGGACCTCTGGAATACCGGCCCAGCGTGCTACCGTTACACCACGAAGGACGCTAGGAAAGTGGGAGAAATACCTTATATACTCCTCTTTTTAAAAGGCGACTAGGGTTTTAGAAGACCGAGTCGCCAAATCCTGGGTACGGAGAATCATCATCCACAACCCTTTTAGTTTGGGTGCCATTGTAGAGACATTAGGATTATTTAGAGGCAGACAAGATAAAAAATATGCAACCGCCTTCACCGAGAATCGAACCACGGACCTCTGGAATACCGGCCCAGCGTGCTACCGTTACACCACGAAGGACACTAGGAAAATGGGAGAAATACCTTATAACATTGTGGCTTGTGAATTTCAAGTTTACAAGAGATGCATTCGGCGGTGGAAATCGGAACAAGAGAAAATGCCAAATAGTAAAAGATCTCATCGAATTGGCATGAGTGACAGCAAGCAGAGAGAAAATGGATTATTAATGTTAACAGAATTCTCCTTCAAAAGAGATAAAAACTTTGTTGGTGTACCTAATTAATGTTTCATGTTTATGAAACAAAAGAAATTATCAATCAGGACCAAAATAGTAGTTGAACAAAAGCTTCCCATGGACTGTCTTGAAAAAAGATCTATTTAAAGCACAAATCTAAGAAAATTAAAGAATAAAATATGAACATACGGCAAATAATTAATGTGGATGATGTGCCCATTATTTTTTATTATCCTCTGTAAAGAACTGTTCATTCAACAGGTGAAAAAACTATCTGTGTTGATTACTGGGAATGAAAAGGCTTCTGTCATATGTTCTTGGGTTGTGGCACCAGTAGAGGGATGTTAACTCGATGATAATTTTCAAACAAAAAACAGTTCCGAAAAGTAACTTCTGTAAAGGGGTGAATATTTGCGAAAAAGAGTGAAAGTTGCTCTGGCTGAGAGAAATTTATCAAAAAAGAAAGGTGCTTTTTTCCAACCTTGGGAACTCATCATTTCCCATTTGTTGGATAATGTAAAATCCAAAGTAAAAAAAAAAAAAAAAATTAAAACCAATGGCTCAGTGAAACTAGACAGACAGAATTTTTGCAACTGTTGGATCTCATCATCAATAAAATTTTCAAGCACAAACTATGAAAGCAGTGGGAGGAATGGCTATAAAGTGGACTTCATTCCTTCACAGTGGGATTGATTCTGGATGGGTGAGAAAAACCATGTATGAGGAGGTTGCCTAGTGGATCGATAAAGCACGGCAATTAGTTAGAGCTGATGTGATTGTATCAGCTTTTATTAAATTGGAAATCATTGAAAAAGGAAATGAAATTGATGATAGCGACGTTGGAACTGATTTTAGAATAGGGTGATGAAAGTGATCTTGATGGTCATTTGTTAAGTTTATGAGTCAAATTTTGGTTTTGTATAAATAAGTGTAGTTTAGTTTAATTATAAAATTTTGTTCGATTTTCTAATTTACATGTTCGTTTTTCATAATATGGTAATTTATGGTGATTCAATTTTCATAATATGGTTTCAAACAACCTGTAAAAATGACATCTAATAGAAATTAACAGAGTTTGTTTTTGGAAAATTCAAGGTAATGTTTGTTTATTTTTTATTTATTTATACAGTCATAAGTTTTTAATCCGGACGTCCATAATCCAGACCTCAAAGCTACAAACTTTCTGCGCATGGGTCAAGGCATGATGCGTTAACGCATGCTCATAATACCGCGCATAATACATTTACGCATGCGCGTTTAATGTATAACGGACGGTATAAGCTAAACTAAAATTATCTAATTATCTACTTCAGTTAATGTTGCAGATTGCGTTGTTCCTTAATCTTCTAATTGGATCTGGCTTATTATTTTTTGCAGACTGTTTGAGCAATTTTATAAAAATAAGCTTGAACTTTCGATTATGTCAAAAAGAATTTCCGATTCTGGAGCTACCAAAGGATCTACAAAGTGAAAGCATGTTTCGATGTCCATCAAGCAAAAAATGGAATTGCTGCAAAAAATGGATAAAGGCCTTTGATTCTCTAATCATTCCGAAATATGTTTATCAATTTCATGCTGCTCTGCGGGGGGGGGGGGGCGACAACGCGGCGCACAATGAACTGGAAGTTGATCTGTCAGCACTATCCTTATTTTCAGGACAGATGTTTTTGTTTTATTTGGCTTATAATTCCTTACTAAATGTAGTATTTTCTTGCCTTTGATATGATTTAAATCAAATTCCTCGTCATTATAAATATCACGAATACACATCAAATAGTTTTCTGGTTGCAATTTTCTGATTTCGACTATGCGTAATGTATGCTTTACGCATGCGCGAGTGGAAAGAAATGTTTAATAAAGTAAACAAATAAATATAAAGCTTTTTTTTTTTTTTGTAAATTTTGATACTCTTTAGATCATAATTGCTCTTTATTTCATAAATTATGGTTTTATATTTTTAATTTTATAATTTCTGCATGCCATCTTACCAGATTAAACTGATGTATAATCCGGAATCGGCGAAGTCCCGACAAGTCCGGATTAAAGACTTTTGGCTGTATATTATATTTTATGTTGTAAACATTATACATTTTAAATAATAATTACATCAACATGGAAAGAAATACTGAATAAAGGAACGAGTTCTGTGTTTTAGAATGCTGTGTTGTGGCATATATGACAGCGGTATGACGTGTGCAGTGAATTTTAATTTTTTTAGTCAAATATCATGGGTGCACCATATATGCCAGGGTGGTTCAGGTAGATACCTGAAATTATGATAATGCAAAATTTTCAGATGTTAGACAGGTTTTGCTAGCAATTCCAAAAGATGTCTATAATGTTGTAAAGTGTGTTGCAGTGATTTATTAGTAAATGCCATATTAGAGTTTTGTTTTACATTATTTATGACTACAATATTTGTGTGCCATTTGGGGCTTAGTATGAAGAAACAACTTGCCATCAGCTTGCATTAAAGTTTTGTCTTGATGAGAGGCATCTCTTTTTAAAAAAATGTGATATCTAGTATATCTATTGCTTTAAAATAGGCACTTCAAAATCCCAGTGACCATACCCTCATTTACAGTTTTAAGGTGTATTGTCATCATCACACTGAGGCAATTAAAAGATTTTAAGAAATTATAGAATTTGCCCTTTTTTCTGCAGCAGTAACTGCTGTGGCTAGGAGTCGTGGTTTTCGAGAGAGAAAATGGCCTTGAATTCCCTAATCTAAAGTAACAGACTAATATTACAGCAGTAATTTTATAATTTTAACATAGTCTCATTAAATTTAGATCCATTGTGACCTCTTAAGAGTTCTTGAAGCTTCGATGTTTTCTCTGTAATACTTTTGAAAGAAATTCAGTGGTATATTTCTTGAATAATATTTGCTTTGTGTATCTATATGAGAGGCAGCATACTTTTATATATCTTTGTATGCAATCTTTAAGTATCTTTTAATTTTTGAGAGTGAGAGTGAGTGAGATTTTTTTGGCGCAAAACCAAAAATGATTATTATGCGCCAAACACGAGCTTTTAATTTTGAAATTTACATATAAATTGAATGTTTTTTCCCTTTTTAATATAAAATTATATAGGTTTTTGTATATTAATGAATAATTATTAATTTTTTATCATCATCTGAGCTTACTATTCATGTTGTTTTCCCCCCAGTCTAAGTTATCTGTTCCAAAGCGAGGTGAATACAATGTGTATAGTACTTTTCAAAGCCATGAGCCTGAATTTGACTATCTAAAAAGTTTGGAAATTGAGGAAAAAATCAACAAAATTAGATGGTTAAAGAGAAAAAATCCTGCTCACTTTCTTCTTTCCACTAATGGTAAGGCAAGAAACTAATTTTTATTTTTAAGGGAGGGGGAAATTATGATTATCTAAAAATATGTATTTTGTATTTAAGAACAGATTGATTAGTAATTATATTTATGCTATTTTTTGCTAAAGAATTTGAAGGAAATGTTTGCTATTTAATTTTGTCATTTCATTCTTGACAATAATAATGAAAAAGGTAGAAGTATGCAAAGAAATTATTTATTAATATATTTTGTACAGTGTATCAAACCCATTGTCCCAATATTCCATAAGTTCAACCAATATTCCATAAGTTGGATAAAATTAATTATAAGTACTAAAATATCATGGTTACTTAGTAGAAATAACACAGCGATATGATAAATCCTCAAATCTGAGCATGTTAACTTTACATTCATTAAAATGAAAAATTAGTTTTCTGGTTGATGTTGACAAATGAAAGTTCTCTGTTTACATGTTAAAAATTAAGTTGAATTTGAATGCTGTAAAGTAGAAGCAGTGATTACTGATATTAAATTAATCTTATGATTTTGTATAATAAGATGCAATTGTAATGACCAGTGTTTGAAATATCAATCAGAAATCTTTAAAATTATATTTAGTATTGAGGATTTAACTTACAAAAATATTTAAGCAGCCATAATTTTATTGCAGTAAATAATTCTATTGATAACATTTGTAATTTTGTAATCTTAACATTCTTGAAATTCTGAATTAACAAATTTAAAATGCATAGCTGCCAAACTTTTCTGGTTTTACTAGGAGATTCCCAGTTTTTTAACACTTCTCTAGGCAGATTTTTGAATCTCTCGATTCCCAGTTTTTTAACACTTCTCTAGGCAGATCTTTGAATCTCTCGATTTACAGTTTTTTAGCTTTTACCAAGTAAAGGTACTGCAGAATGTTTCTCCAGAATAAATAAATTTATTGACATAATGAAACTTTAATTCCTCCACTGCTAGTGAATTTCAGAATAATTTTTTCTATTTATTTTATATGAATTCTGTTTTATAAATCGTTTTCTTATTTTTCTTGTTAAAATTTAGTTTGATCTGAATTGTCATAATTCACTAGAGACAGCTTGCCGTTATCAAACCAATATCTACTATGTGCAAAAAGTATAACTTTGAGGTACTGGATAAAAAGGCTCTCTAAGATTTTATAAGAAGCATATTTTTGAAAACTAATTTAAATTAAAGTTATGTATGTTAAAAGTTATTTTATTTGATTTTTAGGTATTCAAATGTAATAATTTATTTGTTATTACCAAATTAGACTAATTTATCCGCATAGCAAACTATATATTGTCAATTATTGGCAATATAGCAGGTATTAGTAAAAAAATATCTAATTTACATTAGTATTTTATTATTGTTGAATGAAAAGAAAAACAGGTATTAATCAGACTTATAATTTAAGTAATCATAAAATGAATGGTAAGTCACAGTCAATAAACGGTTTAACTTCCTTTAACTAACTGAACTTAGATCAAGTTATTTCCAATGGGCTGTCATACATTGTTGAAGGTTGAGGATACTCTCGAGGAAGATGCCTTTGTTGAGGAAGAATTATATAATCATGGTGGACGGCAAAGTTTGAGGAACATTTCACTATTATACCTATAATAGAAGTCCTTTGATATCATTCACAGTGGGATCCCTTTTTTTTTAACCAGGTCTGATAGAGTGAAAATTGGGGGTAATATGCTTTTAATCTTTTGAAAAAATCTTAATTAATCCACAGTGATACTACATGTTTGTTTGGTTCAAGTCTGGTGTATTCTCATAATATAATCTTGTGGTGCATAAATAGGGGGTTTGATATAATGTTCTATAGTGGAGTGCACACTATCTACCTCCATCATTATGTGTCCCTTTTCTAGTATAATTTGTTCCACATTGAAAAAAATAAGCAAAATCACTCAATGCACTCGCCAGAATCTTATTTCTATTTTGATAGTTACATCCATCAGTAATTATGATAATGTGTTTGTAAGAACTGCATGTAGTTTTAAGGTAATCAATGATACAGCTTGTAAATTTGTTGGATATAATCCATCCATCTGTTTTGTGCCAAAAATAAATAGTAACATCCCCAGGATGAGAGTTATAAATTGTAGAATTATGACACCTCAGTTTCTGTTTATAATACAGTGCTCCTGCAAGTAAGTTTGGTGCTAAAAGAACACTTTGTATGTCAACAGATATCACCATATGATCGGGTTTATCCTTCAGTTTTTTTGGAGCTTTGTTCTTAGTGCTACATGCTTCATCTTTTTCTGGACATGTGTCTCATACTCATCTTGTGAAACATTTTTTAACTGAAAACTGGAGCACACATCACATTGATCCTTTCTCGGTTTGTGAATTGAAATGTTCTCTTTGCTTTGAAAAGGTATTTCTCAAAATGGGTTTTTTATTCTATTCAGTGCGCCACGTTTTGTAAACTGCATGCATGTGCAAGTGTGGTCGAAAAGTTGACTCGACATAAATGCGCTTTGATGATGCTTCACAGTAGTGACTAGGCACTTTTGGAAGTAAATTCAACTATTCGGCACAGTTTCTTGTGCATTTCTATTTGTGATGATACCACAATGACATACAATTATAGTAGGGGTTTCATAATCATCTGTCATACCTGCTATCGTTGGACTGTCCAAGACAGCACAAGAATGAATCGCATCCTAGATCAAGTGTGCTTTAAAAAAAAACAATCTTCACACTTTTATTCTGGTATTTTGTGATTCAGACTTTGGTGCATATATATCAAAACCAGTTTTTTCTTGGAAGTGATAAGATTATCATGTTTGCATTGCTTACGTAAATTTCTCTTAGATACTAATCCTTGTGCAAAAGCTTTTTCACCCCATGACTTTATAATTCCAAAACTTAAAATGCAACACAGCTCTTTCTTCTGAGATAGACCCACACATGAAACTGTTTTGAGAATTTTGTGTAATTGCAGTGTGATTACAATGAATTTTCACATACATGGCTTCTTTAGGTATGCTTTGTTCCATCTTGCCATCTGTTTTCTTATAGCCCATGTATTGTTTATCCAGTAAACGGTGACGTTTGGTTCTAAATTGATGAAAAAGAGGGGCTTGAGACCTGTTTGGGATGGTAACTGATCGTTTGATGAATTGTCATCATCATAACTACTGTGAATAATGTAGTCCTTTGAAGCTGTAGAAAATGGTGAGCTATTGTCTCTTTCAGGGAATGAACTAACTGAAGCATTCTCAACACATATACAGAAGATGTGGATGATTGACTGCTCTCAATGTAATTCGAAAGATCTTGGTTCATAGGAACTGATTCTCTTGGTAGTTCTTGGTGTAATACATCCTGATTATTCTCTTCTAAATACTTATTGTCACTGGCTATTAAAACTAAATCAACTACAGTCAAAAGTCTCAAAGCTGCAAACTTTCTGCACATGCGTAAAAGTATAATGCATTTACGTATGCGCATAAAACCTTTACACATGTGCATAATACGTTTACGCATGCGCGTGTTATGTATAATGGACGGTATTATACGGTCCGTTATACATAACACGGTTTTGTATTTTTAATTTTATAATTTCAGCATGCCATCTTACCAGATTTAAACTGATGATCTATCCGGAAAAACCGATAATCCGGAATGGTCGAAGTCCCGACGAGTCCGGATTAAAGACTTTTGACTGTATTTTCTTTCCTCTGTTCATTTTAGGGTACAAAATAAACTTATGCACTATACTTTATATTTTGACAAAACATACTTTACAAGCTATATTACAATGGTGGGAAAGAGTTTCTGAGCAAGAAGTGCAACACAAACATTTCGAAATTATTTCATTTTTTCTAGTGAAGAGCTCTTAAACAACTTTTCACTTTTGGGGATGTGAATTCTTTTATTAAATTGCTCTAAATTTGGTGACTTAGCGACATTTGGGCGATTTTAAGATCAGTTTCTATAGAAAATTCTTAATTCCGAGATCTGTGAATTTTTCGACATTTTTTTTAGAACATTGTAACGTTAATAAATTTCATTAAAATAATGGTAATATATTGTAATTACATTTAAGAAATAACATTAGAATAAAGCATTTTTATTTTTTGCTGTTGTATTATAAAATTCTATTTTGGCCACTTATTATACAATATTTTGAATCTGAAAAATAAGCAAGGTATAAATGCTATAAAGCACAATTTATGAAACAGTTCTTAGAGAAAGCAAAATAGCTATGTAATTAATTAAAAATGTCTTTTTAATTTTTCGTGGTAAGAGTTTTCTCATGTAATTATCTCTTAATATTCAGAATTCTCAGAATATGCGTCAGTTTTCTCTATAAAATTAATTTTGCACTTTTTTCGTCCGATATGTATGTCATAATAAAAGCAAAGTAAAAAAGACGGAGCAGTGTAGATGCGTAGTTATCCTATATTGATTGCGTAAGCTAATGTGTTGACTTCGTAAATAAAACTTGGCAGTCGAGGCAGTTTTAATTCCATTTTTATTTCCAATTGATATTTGTGGCCACAATCACTTGGCACTCTAGTCGTGCCTTTCCACAGAAGATTTACATTTTTAATATTGTAGGGATAGAAAGCAAGCCAGCGAAATTACATTTTAGCACGGTAGAGAGCAAAAGCTGAAGTGCGTAGTTATGAAGGATGGAAGCACGCGAAGAGGAAAGTTTTTGTTTGTTATTTGGTGATTGGTCAAGAGGCATCTGCATAGTGGTGGGTTACGTAAGATCGCATGATTAATTTGAATGACGCAATGCAGAGAAGTTATATTACGATTTTAGAATAAAGAGGAAGAATTAATGTTTTATAGTTAATCTATAATTTTGATTCATATATTTTTATCTTACATGTATATATTTTTTTCTAAAATATTTCTGGCTTTTTGCTGTTACCAAATTGGTAGGGGTAATTTTTCTTTAGGATTTTAGACATTGCAGCTTGGAAAGTTAAGCAAGATTTATAGACTCACGATTCTGGAAGATTCCAGAAAAATG